GAAGTTAAGGTTTTTGTGGCATAAAATAGCATAAGCTATAAATCCCAAGAATTGTGATCTTAAATCTTATTGGTTCGTTCATACATTTTAGACTTGCCCAAAATATTTTATTATATATATATAGAGAGAGAGGGAGAGGAAATCATGTATTAATGATGTTAATTAAAGAAAGCATCACAATTCATATTTCCAAAATTGTCATGCAGTTTCTCTGAATGGTTATAAAAAGACTGAATAACCATTTTGTTCCAGCTGCCACATCATTTTTTGTTGTTGTTAACATACATGAACTAATTTAAGTAGTCAGTTAAGAGGTATATTTAACTAATGACATATAATTTTACTATTTATGTGGGTTTGTATTTTCCGTTTGTTAATACTGATGATCTGAATGTGATCATTTTCTGTTGGCATATAAACTCTTTCATCATTAAGGGACTTACCGTGAAATTCTATTGGTGACTAGATATACCATTTAGTTGATTGAACTTAACTAATTAGTGGATAACACTCTGACGTTCGAAGCGAAAGGTACTAGGATTTATTCTTTGTGGATACATATTTGACAGATATATCCAGCTAACAAGTCACAAATCGAGGAAACATATATGTTGTAAATGCCTTTATTAGCCAAAATCTAAAATATTTTAAAAGTAGTTTGTACTTTGTTCAATATATGACTTTTTTGTTGTTGTTGTTGTTATTTAAACCATGCACAATAAGTATACGTAGATTTTTTGTAAGTGCAATCCTAAAAATAAATTCCACTTTGGTAATAGTTTTTCACATAAAACACTTTTTTAATGATCTTTAATGACTTGTTGGGTCTAATCATTAACAGGGTTAATTGTTCTTGATGGAAAAATCTTTTTTTTTTTTGAGACTGATATGGAGTGATATTATTACTATCATTCAAGTCGTCGGTAGATACACTCCCAATGAGTAGTCAGTCACCTGATGTAGTAAAAATTAACTGCAATAGATCTGATATATATCTCTCTTAGTGTTTTCTTACTTAAACTCTATACTCTTATATACTACTGTTGTTTACTTACATATACTCCCGTTTTTCTCTTATATTTCTGGGGCACATACCATTTTTTAGTGCTCATTTGAACCAGAACGAATACACAGTAAATAAAAACATAAAATAGACTATTGTTTGTGAGCTACTGATACCACATGGTTGCTTAAACAAAAGTGTGGACGGAATAAGGAACGAACTTGCTACCCATTAGTTGAAAGTCAAGTGTTGCGGCTTTATAATCATCGCTAACCTATCACTTACAGCATAAATCATACATATACTTATCATTATTATTTTTATTATTATTATTATTATTATTATTATTATTATTATTATAAGCTTTATTCAATATTATATTTTTGGTACAATATAGAATTCTCAGCGTAAAGTATTCCAACAAGTTTCCGTTTCTTTCTTCTTGGTCGGTCCTGGCGATAAATATTGAGTGATCGCCAGTTAAATGTTAGCAGTCCAGTAAATGAATATCTGAATAATGTATATTCTTTTCTCTGCATATTGCCAGAGACCACATTGTCTCTTATTGGGCTTTTTGTAACTTTGACAACGAAAGGTTGTACAGTTTTCAGAAACGCAGCAGAAGACATCATGTGATTAATAAACATAATGATATATTAAAACAAACAAAAATAGATAACTTGTTGAAATATCTGGATGGCAGGAACAGGTAGCCCAGATGCTTAAGCAGGCCGCCTAATGAATTATGTCGCTTGAAATAAGTATGAATTTGAACTAGTTTCAGGTCTAAGGCAGAATTTGATTCGAATTTCTTGAAATTTGCTCAAGCGGGATGCCAATGAAGTTCCTCTTTCTCTTTATCAAGAAAACTATTGCAGGTTCTCCACTGGCGTAACGAACCAGTAAGTTACACAATTTCTTTACGACACTAACTATAGATTTGTGATAGATAGACATGCCTTAGTTCTATATAGCTTTCAGACCAGTGAACTGTTATAGACTGTCCACTTGTCCATGATGTACGTATGTTGAACTCCACTGTTACCGTCTTTAATAAAAAAATGTAGTGTAATTTGCAATCGCACATTATGTTATGTTATTAATTTTTACTCAAATTTAGGTATTACCTATTCAAAGTAAAATGATTGATCCTACTGGATATGGTTTACCATTTGGTGTTTTAACTACTGGCATGATTATTGTTATCTGTATGAATGTAGCTGTTGGATTTTATGGGTTTTTAAAATTTGGTGAAGAATCTGAAGGAAGTATCACGTTAAATATACCGCAAGTGCCTTAGTAAGTTCAAGTTGTTTACTGACTGAAGATGATCGTGATATCATGTATTTCCTTGTATGTAATATGTCGTTTCACATAAAACTTACACTTCTCGGTTAGTGGTTCGGCTGATATTTTTTTATGGAGAACTGCTGTATTTATTCACAAACATTAAGAAATCTGTGATGTGTTAACATTTTGCCCTGTTTCTTGACAACTGATTTAGAAAGTAGATTACTCCAGGGTGTGCTGAACCTAGACTTCAGGTACAAGGTAAATATGGCAAGTACGTTGATGTGGTACTTAAGTTATGTGTTATGTTTGACTAACTATCCCTTACCTCGATGCACTGTTTAGAGCCATATTATTAAGTTGGAAAAAAGCCAAGGGTGGTCAGACGAAGGCGTCACATTAATCCATTAATTCATTGACTGTTTTACTGAGCTGTATTGGTAGATGCAGATTTTCTGACTATGGCCAGCGCGATTATTCTAACCAATGGTCGGAGACGGGTGATTCAGAATCGGTCATATTCGCGATCTCATCTAAATGTACTAATGAAGTCAACCAGCTTGAACCAATTCACACACGTGCCACGTTATATGTCGCGCTAAACTAACTGACCGACAATGACATGAATGTATTATTTAGTTAAATTAAACTACCCTTTCTCACCATACAGGTCACACATTTTTCATCATTAACAGTGCACACACACACACACACACACGAATTTACATACATTCGCTTATGAACCACCTTGACGGAAATGACATGACATTGATTTGTTCAGACTTGTTTTTTGACTGATCACAATATTCTTGTTGTTCCATTGTACTATTTGAACTTGGATTAATTTTGATTTGGTTATTTGTTTTCTGAAGAAGTGGCTTACAATGAGTCACAGAACGTCAGAAAATCTAATTTTTCTACCTATTGGGATATTACAAATATATTAATTAATTAATTTTATTCATTCCTTTTATTCCTCGAATTCATTTTTTTCCGAATCATATTGTCGAAATGTGTAATCATTTTTACTACTACTGATGCTGTCACTATTTTTACTACTGTCGTGTTGTTTTGATAACACCATGTTCTTGTACTGGTACAATTTAGTGACCGATGCACATATGTGTCACGCTCTATGTTGCTTATGACTGATTAACTTATAGATTACTTCATACTATTAATTTGTACTTTTCACTTAATTATGTAATCTTTTCCATTGTTATCATTGACTCATAATCTATCTTGACTGGTTTAATCATTTCGTTTAGGCATATATAAATATTACTGTATATTAGAGTAAAGCCTAATGAGGATCCAATTCGAAACAATATTGTTCGCTTACATCTATGTTGTTCTAAATTTGTATATTCACAAAGCCATGTCCAGAGTTTCCTGTTGACTACCTCAACACCATCTTGCTTGACCTGTCTTTTAAAACAATCGTCAACGAACTAAACATAAGTTGTTTCTAGCACATGTTATTGAAAGTAGAACAGAATTGTTCACAACTGACAGTGAGATTTAAATAATCCATAAAAGTGATAGATTTTAAATATATACATCATGATCAAAATCTGTCTAAATATAATAGAACTGATATCTTGAAGTTAATCAACGGGTATCGTAATTAACTATTTACATTTTCAGTACTCAATGTTACCATTCAATTAAGTCATTGATCAACTACAAGTTGACATAAGTCTAAGTTGAAAAAGCTAAATCATCTTGATGAGGATAGAATGCTAAGACTTTTGATTATCCCACTTTCATGTTTATTAAAGATCATTGACATAGTGTTTGTTCATACGTATTCGTTTCACATGAAGGATTGTGATGTGATATCAAATATACAGTATGATGTATGACATAAAATTATGAAATGATCCCATTCAGTTCTTCTTTTATAAGTTCAATTAGATAATTGACATTTAAACCGACATGAATACTTTTCAGTTGAGTGGTGCCTTTCTATATGAAGTACTTTAGTGAAGTAGGCATACTCAAATTTGTACATCATTCATAAATGAACATAATATATGCAATTGTTTCTTTCTTTTTAACTAAATGTGCACAATATCGATTTCTAGAGAAAAGTCAATGACAACGTTACTATGTATACAAATGTGATCTCTCAATCTCTCTCTCTCTCTCGCAACTCTTCGTTTTACCATTTCACAAACAAAACTATTGAGAACTTCAACCAAAATGACTATTCTCATTTACCTGATATAAGCCCGTTTTTTTCTAGATTTTTCAGAAAAATAAAACAATGTAGAGTATGATGCTTGATTTTCATAAGTAGAAATATCTGAATAAATCATTCTGAAAGAAAGTTTTATTTTATGAGAGATGATATTATGTTTCACTGAATTTGAGTTGAGATCATTTAATTTATTATAATTAGTGGATTAGTTGAAGTTAGACATTAACAGCGTTGGATGTCAGTCGATTCAGTGGTCTAAAGGTTAAGCGTTCGTGCGCGAGACTGATAGGTCATGGGTTCGAATCTCGCGAGGCGGGATCGTGGATGAGCACTACGGAGGAATCCCATACTAGGATGAAACGGCTGTTCAGTGCGTCCAAATATCTGGTACATGAATCAATCACAATAGCATAGGTGTATACACTCTTTATATTCCTTTCAACCATGAGATTAAAACTGGTTTATATTTTTCTTTCTGAGAACTAATTCTTTCTTCCTGTATTATATCCTTATATGCAATCTTTCTTTTATATATTACTTTCATTGATGTGACTACTATGAATTCGGTGTTCATCTTGCTGTGCTAATGAGGCATGGCAACTCGGACCGATACATATATGTGCTTGGTCCTACGTTATAGCTGACTGACTGGTACATGATTTATAATTAAATAAAAAGAACCAAAACATAGGTTAGATAATACTTTATTCAATATAATATACGGAATATACTTCCCATTCCAAGTTTGGACTTCTCTCTCTCGTTAGCGGGGCTGGGACGCGTCAATAGCTAGCTTACTGGTGTTTGGTCACCGAGTTTTGTTTCTCGTCCGCAGATTAAGTGAACTCGTGACAGCTTCAAACCCAACAACGACCAATCAATCATACATTCAATATCGTATATCATTATTGTTAGCATGGATAAAGACCAATAAACGTTTCATAATCATACCTTATTTTCCATTCAGTTAAACTAATCAGGTTATGATATATATAAAGGTAATGAAGTATAAATAAAACGTTTTCTGGGATTTTCAATATTATATTCATCCAATTAACATGTTTTGAAGCTCTATGTTAACCTTTCCCAGTCTGAGCACCCCCCGCCTCACACACACAAATCAAGTGACTTGTGTAGCACATATGTATTCGGTGTCCCTTTGAACCAATGTTTATGTGTTCAAATAGATAAATCAATAATTTTATGAGTAGTTCCAAAGAAAAAAAAATAGTCTTAGTCATTGAAATATCAATCTTTCAAAAATATTTTAATTATACAATGGAAACTTGTAACAGCACTTACTATTCCATTCACATTTATAAAGACCTTAAAGTAATATGAATCAATTGAACTATTGTTTAAGTGTTTAACTTGATAATTCGACAAGAACAGTGTGACCGATTTCGATAGATATCTCTTTTGAACTGAAAACCAGTTTGGTTCTGAGAGTCGTTTGGATATTATTAGTTAGAAAGTGATATTTCTAAGCATAAATATCATGCTGATATTGTGGTGTTACTTACTTACTTACTTACTTACGCCTGTTACTCCCAATGGAGCATAGGCCGCTGACCAGCATTCTCCAACCCACTCTGTCTTGGGCCTTCTTTTCTAGTTCCATCCAATTCTTGTTCATTTTTCTCATGTCCATCTCCATTTCTCGGCGTAATGTGTTCTTTGGTCTTCCTCTTTTCCTTTGACCTTCAGGATTCCATGTGAGGGCTTGTCTTGTGACGCAGTTCGGTGCTTTCCTCAATGTGTGTCCTATCCACTTCCAGCGCTTCTTCCTGATTTCTTCCTCCACTGGGATCTGGTTTGTTCTCTCCCACAGTACGTTGTTGCTAATAGTGTCCGGCCAATGGATCTGAAGTATTTTGCGTAGACAATTGTTAATAAACACCTGTATTTTCTGGATGATGGCTTTCGTAGTTCTCCAGGTTTCTGCCCCATACAATAGAACTGTCTTGACATTTGTATTGAAAATCCTGACCTTGGTGTTGGTTGACAGTTGTTTTGAGTTCCAGATGTTCCTCAGTTGTAAATATGCTGCTCTTGCTTTGCCGATCCGCGCCTTCACATCTGCATCAGATCCACCCTGTTCATCAATGATGCTGCCCAAATACGTAAACATTTTTACATCTTCCAAATCTTCTCCGTCAATTGTGATTGGGTTGGTGCATTCTGTGTTGTATCGGAGAATCCTGCTTTTCCCTTTGTGTATATTGAGACCTATTGCTGCTGAGGCTGCTGCCACACTGTTTGTCTTCTCCTGCATCTGTTGTTGCGTTTGGGATAGAAGGGCCAGATCGTCTGCGAAGTCTAGATCATCCAACTGCATCTTAGATGTCCATTGTATCCCGCGCTTTCCTTCAGACGTTGACGTCTTCATGATCCAGTCGATCACCAGGAGAAAGAGAAAGGGTGAGAGTAAGCAACCTTGCCTAACACCGGTCTTCACTTTGAACGACTTTGTGGTGTGTGCCACTTATATTGACATAAGTAGTATATAATATTAGTCGTGAACAGAAGGTCTGGCAGAAGAGAGACAAGAGGATTGAACAGTAAACAATGGAAACAGGATGCAATTTGTACGGAAATGCAAGAACAATGAAGTCTGAGTCATTTTGACACAATTAGATAAAGGCCTCATTCCTATAATTGAAGAACATATGGAACTCAAAACAACTGTCAACCAAACATCAAAGTGCAAATCTTTAAAACGAATGTCAAGATAGTCCTACTGTATGGAGCTGAAACTTGAAGAACTACTACAACCATCATCAAAAGGGCACAAGTATTTATAAATAGCTGTTTATGTAAGATACTCAGTATCCGTTGACCATATGCCATCAGCAACGGCCTAATGTAAGAGAGAACAAAATAGCTTCCAGCTGAAGAGAAAATTAGGAAAAGATGTTGGAAGTGGGTAGGATATACATTACGGAAGTCCACAAACTGCAGCACGAGGCAAATTCTAACTTGGAATCGTGAAAGGAAGCGGAAGACAGGAATACTCAAGAACACACTACGTCAGGAAATAAGAACAGATATGAAAAGGATGAATAGCAACTGGAAACAAGCGGAAAGGATTGCTCGAGACAGAGTTAAATGGAGAATGCTTGTGAGCGGCCTATGTTCCTCCACGAGGAGTAACAGGCGTAAGTAAGTAAGTAAGTAAATGATAATTAAATAAATATATCGGTACCATCATACTGCAAATTTTTGGTTGAATAGGATACACTCTATGTTACACGGAAAATAACATAAGACATTATGATGATATTTTTCAGGCGGTAATGGATTAATAATAGTTTCTAAATGACTTACAAAGTGCATCTAGGCTGGTATGTTCTGAAAACGTTAAACAGTTAAATATAATTTAACCCATGAAAATAAGTTGAAAATCTAATCAACATCACAATGAAGTTCGATTAGCTGGAGACGTAAATTCGACAAGTATGTCAAAAAAAGTATAGTCTTATTTACGGACATGACAAAATACGCTTTCTTTCTTAAATGAATAATATTTCATCGTGTTTTTGATTGAGAACTTGGAAGCAATGAACGGACGTTTCATCTTATTGTGGGACTCTTCTGCAGTGCGCATCCACGATCCCACTCGCGGGATTCTAACCCAGACCCTTCAATCTCGCGCGTTAACTCATAAACTTTAGACCACTGAGCCGGGATCCAACGGTGTTAATGTCTAATCTCAACCAATCCACAAAATCGCTCGACCATCTTCCATTGTACTGAAGTAGATATCTGTCATTATGGAATTATGGAGACAAGACAACCGGCCAGTGCTTCCAGAGTTTCCATTGTGGTCTAACATTGATCGATTCATGATATCAATCGGAAAAACTTATTTTTGAAGCGTCGCAAATTATATCTTGAAAGCAAATTTCTGAAACAATGAAAATATTCATGAAAACGTTTGTCACAATGAACAAGATATTAACCGGTATAATTTTAAACTTAATATGGATGCTTCTATGAAAACATATTTCTTCTTAATCAACATTCATGGTATTTAACTCAAATATACATGAAATGCTAGTCAACTCACTGCCACGACAAACTCTGTAACCTGCAAATAAATTTAATATTATTTGAATTACATAGATTAATAAAAAAGTATACGTGAAGTTAATGTCAGTAGCTATACGTTGATATGTAAACTTGTAGTGGTATTGGTTGTTAACCTCACGATTCTCTAAGCTAGACTTATAATTACTGAGAAGATTGACATGTAACACTAAGAGAAGGTCAACAATAGTAAACATGGTAACAATCATTCGAGGTGGTATAGCTTGGACTTGCAGGTGTAATCATGTGTAACTTATTACCATTCACATTAAACATAATATTCTACCCCAACTCAAATGTTCTCTTCAGAATTGTTAAAAATTATATTTCTGATGATAACGATAGGACGCGTTAGCGTAGACTATGATGTGACTTCTACGTAAGATCATATAGATCAGGAAGTCACATCATGACGTATCTACAATTCTAGGAATAGGTCTATTATTATTATAGTAACAAAGGTAAGTGTACTAATATCGGACTAGAATATAATTTTACACCATAATGATTGATCTTACAACCATTAGGTTAATCCAGAAAGAGTACCGGTCATATAATCAATGGTAACTGCTCCCCAACCCAAATGTAATGATTTCAATATAGGCTACAAGTGCTTTTAAGGAGCTCTAACAACTAGATCGACTGATTTCAATCTCTAAATGGAAACATCACAATAATCTTATTAAGATACTTTATTCGCTAAAACCTTTTCACCATATTATCAGATTTCTGTTGTCTTGGGTAGGTAACTGCTTCTTATCCAACACATATGAATAATGAATATACACGACAATGTATTAAAAGAGTTTTAATGCTAGAATATATACTGTTGATAATAACAATAGTAGTAGAGTTGTGGATTCATTTCACTTATTGTTATATTGTACCTTCAATATCCATTTCGGTTTTGATAATGAAATATACAGACAAAGAGATGGGATAGTAATAAGATTTCCATTGTGTCCAGTTTTAGAAGACTGTTTCGTGTATAAGCTGGAAAACAATCAATTTGCCTAGGTCACCGTTTGATTTAATCCATACAAAAGATAAATGAACGACTTTTTCGTTATTTGCTATGGAAATATTGAACTAGTTGACATTTTTCGTCTTTTTTTTTAAAACATATCCCATTCTTCCGTAGATTTTAAGTTAGAAAATGAAGTAGGATAGTCTATCTCGTTTCTCGATGTACTTCTGGCAAGGGCAAATGACAGATTTTTTAAAATGTCAAAAAATAGAAAACGAACATGGAACGACGAACTGAGTAACTTTAATTTCTAGGTTACGGTAAACAGATTCAGGAACCTTATTTACTTATTGTGTTACTGAAGTTGTAAGATCTGTAATACTGACTGCGTTGATGAAGAACTTGCATTCCTCAGAGAAACGTCGGCTGAAAATGGCTATACGAACCATTTCATAGAGACGAATGTGAACTGATGTTAGAACAAAAGATCTGGTAATTCCGTGCTAAAGAAATATCTTTTTATATATCTGGAATTTAAGGGTGACAAAACCTCTAATGTATTAAAAAGTTGTTTTGCAGAAGAGATAAAATAAACGATCCATACAGCAAAGCAGCTTATTTTTTGTATCCACAATCAATAGGCACCCTTATCTGGTTACTTCTATGTGCATCCACCAGTTTACTTGCTCTTTGTGGGGCAAGGTATAATACGCGGAGATAGAGCTTGCTTCGAACTACACGTTACAATATGGTTCAACAAAGTTTAGAGGAAAGCAGATACAAATTGTATTGTTGAATATTTATTCCATTCCAACCACTTCACTGATCCACAGATAGATTGTACGGTTGTTTATACAATCCAAGTAAATTTACCTAGCTATCTTTGTACCAAACACTTCAACGCTGTAGAAGCTCTTGATATTCATAAAATGAAGGCATAACTATATATACAAAAGATGTACGTCTAGTACGTTTCTATTATTTTTATCGATTTATTTCATATTTGGAAACATTACCCTCTCTCCTTAATTACTTTACATATATCTATGATTTTTTAAAATATTCCTTCATTTCATTGAACATCTCCAGTGGTTAAGCGCTCGCACGCGAGACTGATAGGTCCTGGGTTCGTGTCCTGCAAGGTAGGATCTTGGATGCGCACTGTTGAGGAGTCCAACAATAGGACGAAACGGCTGTCCAATTCTTCCAGGTTTTCCATGGTGGTCTAGCTTCAATTGACTCATGATCTCAACTATTGAAATTACAACAATCTCCACAAAACACCTGATACATTTCTTATAACAAAAACATAGTAATAAATATCTTAATCCATTCATATTGGAATACACTGATAATCTATTAAAATAGTTTGTTCTTCACGATTTATTAACTACACACCCCAAATATTGGTGGCCTACTCGAGTATTTGTGCTACCTGTTCCTGCCATCAGTCTTTTTTTTAATATTCTCAATGAAGTATTTGTACGATTCATGTACTTAACTTTTAATAGATAAAGAACTTTGTATAACTTACACTTTGAGATGAAGGCAGCTGTAAATCGATAACATTGATAAATATTTTTTGTATATGTGTAGTCTAAACGTTTTCATCAAAATGTTCCTAATCTCCAAGAAGTAAATGGATATTTAATAATTTATACTTTAGTGGTTCGGGATCTGACTCTAGTTATATCATATCTTTGATTGTTCATTGAAATATACAAATTGAGATGGTGGAGATTTTTAGCTCAGGTGGATGATTTTGGTGGAGTTTCGTTCTCTGAGCTGGATGGTTTGGTCGTGGAGCTTTCATCGTTCTTCTGAACGACATCATCAGCACAAATTGATGTCGTTCAGAAGAACGATGAAAGCTTCACGACCAAACCATCCAGCTCAGAGAACAAAACTCCACCAAAGTATACATATTGCCTATCCTCGTATATAATTATCAAGTTAATTCGCGTTAGTGAATAACGGAATTTTTAAATAAGTCAAATAAGTGAATGGATGTTTGAATACGTATATTTTGTACAATCATTGATCCAGACAGATGATCGAAGGAACGAAGCGAAACGGAATGATGTGCAGTGGAGAAGGCACGTAAGCCAACTCGATTAAATCAAGCGGTAATCAATATTTATAGTCAAACAAAAATAAGCTACAGACATGTGATGAGTAGGATAAAATGTACATAAACATACGCTCATATGGAGGCTATTAAGAGGGATAAGTGAATAATTATCAAGCTCAAAATGTAGCTTGAGAAGAATGGATAATTCGGCTTATCCGGAAGCTAGAATAAGTTATATGGGCTTGGCATAGTAACCGACACTACAACACCAGTTATCTTATCGCCACAACAAAAGTGGTTTAAATCAGCAAAATAAATTAAACTTATTCACTTGGAATGTAAAACACTAAGAACATCATATCAATGATCGAAAGTTATTCGTATGGTTGGGCGAGAGAGAAAGCGTGAAACTTAAGAGGATTTCTTGAACACAGGGTATAGGACCGTATAGATTTAATAATTTGTATGGCAAAGTACTCTTCATCATGAATTATGCAGAGTTGTAAATACGAGTAATTTAATTACTTGACGTTATCATCAATTTGATGCTTACGAAATTAAACAAAAGAGGTCCTCGTTTTATTCCCGCCCCGAGTCATAATTAAAAATTGTAGGACAATTTCATTCAAATACAATTCATTTCAATTTGGTTTTATCAGCAAAGAAATTTCATTCTTTTCAACGACATCGGCTGCAATGGTACAACAAAATAACTACGAAATGGTCAGATATTTGTATCTGACCATAGTTTTTATTTGTTATTAAATGGATTTTGATATGTCAAGTATTGGCCTTTCTTAATCACGAAGCGGCTAGGATAGGTGAAGTAACGCTGAGCACGCTGTTTAATATGAATTATCAAAGTTAAATTTATGAGTCAATCTAAGCTAAACCACCATGGCAAACCTGGAAGCATTGGACGACCGTTAAGTCCTAGTATTGGACTCGTCAGCAGTGCACATCGAAGATTCCGCATTCAGGACTAGAACCAAGTGCCTTCGGTCTCACGTGCGAACGCTTAACCTCTGCAAAACCTCATTCCAATAATAATCAAGTAGTCACTAGTGACTAGCCCTAATATGGTTTTCCAAGGGCTCTATTGAGAAGCCGTGACCAGTGGAATCCGATCCGTTTCGGGGGTGAGACAGTTATCAAAAAATGGATAGAGGGATGGGCAAGATCATGGATTGATTGAAATTAAACATTAACATCATTGGATGTCGGCTCAATGGTCTAGAGTTTAAGCAATCTCACACGAGACCGAAGTTCATTGATTCAAGCATCTTTGATGAGGAATCATCAATAAGTGCTGGTGAGGAGTTCCTTACTAGGATGAAACGGCCTTCCAGTGTTTCCATGTTTTCAATGGTGATCTAGCTTAAATGAAATCATGAATTCAACTTTGAAAATAAATTAATACCATAAAGTTTCATGAAAACTTGACTGACTTACAAACACTTTCACAATCATATTCACCTTTAATTGCAATAAATGAAAGTTCAGATAGAAAACACTAATTTTTCTGTAGTCGTTTACTAATAAAATCATCATTATTTGTCATTAAGTAATGAATAAAAGTTATTTAACTCATAGGATGTCGCCTATATATATATATCCTCATCTGCTGGTCGAAATCGTGAAAACTGATCGTCGTGAAGATGATCATCTAATACATGTGAAAGTAAACTTTATCTTTACAATGAATCAGTCATTTAACATGAATTCAAATCAGAAATGAGGATTATAGTAAAATATTTCAAAGTATTATCTTAATAAAGAGATTGGCTGAAGTAAATCTTCCTTTTTCCATAATGATAGCTTAAAGCATATTCTAATGATGCATCATAGATTGGAAAGCATTTACTTACTTACCTACGCCTGTTACTCCGCATGAGGTAGCATAGGCCGCTCACCAGCATTCTCCATCCAACCCTGTCCTGGGCAATCCTTTCCAGCTCCTTCCAGTTGTTATTCATCCTTTTCATATATGTTTTTATTTCTCTCAGATCTCGAGGTCTTCATAATCCAATTAACCACCAGAGGAAAGGGGAAGAGAGAGAGTAGACAGCCTTGTCTGACTCCGGTCCTTACTTGGAATGCATCTGTCAGCTGTCCTCCATGCACAACCGTACACTGTAGTCCGTCATATGAGTTTCGGATAATGTTGACAGTCTTCTCAGGAACTCCGTAGTGTCGAAGAAGTTTCCATAACGTTCTCCTATCCACACTATCAAATGCCTTTTCATAACCAATGAAGTTGATGTACAGTGACGAGTTCCACTCAACTGATTGCTCGACGATGATCCGTAGTGTAGCAATTTGGTTTGTGCACGACCGGTCCTTACAGAATCCAGCTTGTTGATCTCGAAGTTGGGCGTCTACTGCATCTTTTATCCGGTTTAGCAACACTCTGTTAAAGACTTTCCCTGGTATTGACAGTAGTGTAATGCCACTGTAGTTTTCACATTTGCTCAGATCTTTCTTTGGAATCTTTGGAAAGCATTTAAATAGTACTATTTTGAGTGGTGTATATAAGTTAAGTTGACTAGCTATAAATACAAGAACTACAGGAACCAGCATGAAAAAAGTACTTTTACATAAAATAACAAGAAAAAAGTTCTTTGAAATGTTCCAGTTAATAATAAGGTGAGTTGTAAAGGAAAGAAGCAATAAAAATATTGATGAATCGGTTGTATAGATTAGCATTTGTCTTCAAATAAATGGTTATATGATATCCACGTTCCCGCACCACGCGCACTGCTGAGGAGTCCCATACTAGGACGAAACGGCCGTCCAGTGCTTCCAGGTTTTCAATGGTGGTCTAGCTTCAACTGACTCATGATTTCAATCTGTGAAAATTTCTAAAAATCTCCACAAACCCCTTCTGATAATAATCATCTGCTCACTAGTGACTGACTTCAAGAGATACTCCTGGAGTTCTAGTGGGAAGCCGTTACCAGTGGAGTACAACCAGGTCTGTTGTGAGATATCAGCTCACTGAAGACAATGGTATATGGTGGCGCAACTTCGTGGACTGGTTGAAGTTAGACATTAACACCGTTGGATGCCGGCTCAGTGGTCTAATGGTTAAGTGCTCGCGCGCGAAGCCAGTAGGTCCTGGGTTCGAGCCCCGCGTGGTGCGGGAACGTGGATGCGCACTGCTGAGGAGTCCCATACTAGGACGAAACGGCCGTCCAGTGCTTCCAGGTTTTCAATGGTGGTCTAGCTTCAACTGACTCATGATTTCAATCTGTGAAAATATGATAGTTTGGACTGATATAACAAGTTTAACTTTCTGCATATTAATGAAAAGAATAAAAACGTGAGTTAGTGACTAAGACATCATTTCTTTCATTATAAATTGCTGCATCCAATAAGAAGAGATAAGACTTAATGGAAGAGGGAATATGTGTGACTTTTTAGGGCGAATTATAATCCAAAAGTGAACATCAACTCTGAGATGCAAGTACATTCAGCTGACGAGTCTCAAATAGGACGAAGTGTCTCGCATCCTGGATATCACTGCTAGCCACTATCTATCTTGGAATTATAATCAGTTAGGTACAAAAAATATGCACATCGCGATAAAACACCTAGCAGCTTTATAAGTGGAAAGAATGCGATAAACTATAGCTACTTCATTCCATGTTTGACGAGTTCATTATCATTTAAGCATTTGCTAGTCATTTGGAAGAAACAGATAGTTTAATGTGTAGGACATGTTCATGAAATTCTTTCAACAAGTAAAAATTTGTTGGCAGGACAATTTTTTTTCTTAATACAAGATAATTAAGAGCAGAGTCAGCTTATTGATAGTGGACCAGGTGTAAGATAAATAATGCCATGAAATTTTCATATTTTCACTTGATCGAGTGTTATACGGATTTACTACCGCTTATTCAAGCACATTAGAATTTTATTGACACTCGCAATGAAGGACCAGTCTGAAGTGAACTGAAAGTCGATTAGTCAGTAAGATGATAGTAATACCAGCATAAAATCATAATTTTTAAGGTTTTACCAGGTCAATTAACCTTCAGTGCATAAAGGTCGATACTAGACAACGGAGAGGGAACATTGTTCTTTAAGTATGTTTATTTACAACATAAACTGTTATCAGCAGTAAAGAATATTATTTATTCCTACAATTTATAGTTCAAGCGGTTTTATGGTAGTCACTTTTGATTACTTTTATTTAGCCAGTTATTATTTAGACGGACTGAATTTATTCCTTTACTAATTCTTTCAACCTAAAATGACCTTCATTAAGATGCGGAAATTTAAATTCTGCCTTTAAATCATCGCTCTCTCGTCTAAGTTCTCAATAGAATGTAACGTACTCGTAGATACCGATTCATTTTTGTATTGTATGTTTGAATCTTTTTATTGATGTTCAGGACTACAATCAATCAGTCTCTTATTGGTGTACATGGATCATCTACGGATTGTCTCGATACTGTCTTAAATCACAAGCAGTATAAGCAGAGATGAATGATGGCTAGCGGTGTGAATCAAAGACGAGCGTCTCAATCTATTTGGGACTCGTCATCTGGATGTGCCTGCATCCCAGAGTTGGTGTTCACTCCAGGACTCTAACCCATTACCTTAGGCTTTAAACGCAATCGCGTTATCCATTTGGTCACTAAGTCCCGATAACCACTATCTTGAGCGATCAGGTGAAATTTTAATTCATTTTGGTATTGTTTGTTTGAATCTTCCCATTTGTGTTTAGGATTGTAAGTGATCAATCTGTTATTGACATATGTGCATCCTGTACAGATTGGTTCGATGACATTTAAAGCGAACGGTATAGGATTCAAGTCTCGGAATAAACGTTAACTCTGAAATTCAGGTATATTGAACTCACGAGTTCAAAATAAGACCAATTGCACATCCTGGATTCCTCTGATAGACACCATCCATCTTTGCTTATATTTGTAGATAGTATTCATTGATTCAAATTCATATATTTATGAACTTGTTTTAAGGCAAGTGTAAATTATAAACATACACTTATGGAAAAACGGATAATTGTATAGGCTTACATCTTTCTCTACTATACGATGAGTCTAAATGCGAAGAAAATTTAACCATGTAATATAGTGTTTACTAATTTAATATATTAGAACGTGAATTCTCGACTATTCTTTTTTCTTTCAACATATAATAACTATAACATTATAAGTAATGTCGTTGAAACTTGATAATCACGTACTATTACAGCCAACAATACCTGTAAATGAATTTTGTTTTTAAAAAGAAATGCAACTCATAGAATCTCAGTTCTTCAATGAATATTCACTTGAATTATTAAATAGAGGATATTTAGTATCATTTATAAAAGACTGAAGTTAGATTGAAGTTAGACATTAACACCATTGAATGCCAGCTCAGTGATCTAATGGTTAAGCGCTCGCGCGCGACACTGATAGGTCCTGGGTTTGAATCTCGTGGGGAGGATCGTGGATGCGCACTGCTGAGGAGTCCCATACTTGGACTGTTTAAATGTTAGTAGACCTGACTGATTATTCATCTGATGAAAATATAAATGAGTTTGTAAGTAACATTGTTATAATTTGATTAAATAATTCGAAATAAATTACGCATTGGATAGATTACATTTTGTGATGAATTGTAAATCACTAGAAGGTTGTTTCGTTCTAGTATAGAACAATTCAGCTGTTCCCATGCATGAACATGCATGCGGGATTCAAACCCTGAATCTTCGATCACCATCGAGATTTCTTGACCGTCCAATGCTTCCAGTCTTTCAATGGTTGTCTAGTTTAGAGCGACTTGTGAATTCAACTGTTAAAATGCTATAATCTCTACAAATCCCCCAATGGATGACGTTTAGTTATTCACAGAAATGGATTACACTAAGTCATCAAACGTAATATAATTTAGTGTTTTTGCTCATTTGGAATTATTTACTTGAATCATCCCATTGATGTTTAGAACTGAAATTGATCAGTCTTTTGTTGTTATGTGAGCATCTTATGAGGATCACCTTGATATTGCCTTAAGTCACAAGGTTTTTTTAAGCAGAGATGAATGGTGGCTAGCAGTAGAGTGACCGCAATGAACCTCAACTCTAAGATGCAGGTACATCCAGATAACGAGTCCCAAATAGGACGAAGCGTCTGGCGTCCTGAATTCCACTGCCAATGAACGAAAGTTCTTATATACTATCTACAATATGAAACTTGTTAATCGATAAAATAATGGTGAATAGAAGTAGTTTTCTGATTAAAAAAAATTAACTTTCGGATATTTTCAGCTTTGAGTATAAAGAAACTTACAGTATTCATATCCAATTGTTGCTATGACTACAATAAAAAGTTGAAAATCATTTCTAAGTCACTGTATATAAAGCACAGTCATTATTATGGACTGAAAAAGCATCAGTATAATAATTATCATTTACATCCAGAATGTACGGAAGTTCACGTTATAAATACACGTCCAGACAATTCTGGTATCAATAAGTTTCACGAGCAAATGTAATAGGTAGTTAAAGGAATGATTCATACATTTTTATTTAAACCGAATAAATTTGAAGTAACGAAGGTTAAAAGGACTTAGTAGCCAAGTGGATAACGTGTTGGTATTCGAAGAGGATGGTACTGGATTGGAATCCTAGAGTGAACTTCAACTCTGGAATGCAGGTACATCCACATGACCACTCCTAAATAAGATGAAACGCACGTCCTGTATTCCACTGTTAGCCATTATCCATCTTCGCATTTATAAAGCTTGTGACTTAAGGTGAAATCGAGGCACATATACCAGTAAGAGACTGATCGATTGCAATCGTAAATAACAGTGGGAACATACAAGCAAACAACACCAAGTAAATTCAAGGTTAAAGTTATTTTATTTGACATTTGTGCAACCCAATAAAGTTCACTATATCAACTTCAACTTTCCTTTATGTACAAACGTATATTGTCTAAGAATTTATCTTGAATAAATGTTGAAAACATCAAAATACTTTAATAGACCTTATCATCTTATACAATCTATCATCTCAAAATGGTGTTCTGACAATTAAGTATAATAAATAATAAGCAAGAAAATTTGAATAACAATAACATTTAAATTCAATTTGGTATTATTTACTTGAATCTTCTCATTGATGTTTGGGATGGCAATTGATTAGCTGACGAGTCCCAAATAGGACGAAACGCGCATCATACTAGATTCCATTACTAGCTACTATCCATCTTTGCTTATAATGCTTGTAAATTAAGGCAATATCGAGGCATACGCACAGTATGCACATATGCCAATAAGAGACTGATCAATTTCAGTCCTAAAACATCAATGGAAAGATTCAAGTAAAACAACACCAAGTGGATTAAACTTCACCCGATTTCACAAGCAAGTGGCTATCAGGACTCACTAGCTAAGTGGATAACGTGATGGCGTTTGAAGCAAACGGTATTTTGTTCGAGTCCCAGAGTGAACATCAACTCTGAGATACAGGTACATCCAACTGACGAGTCCCAAACAGGTTAAAACACTCGTCCTGTATTCCACTGCTAGCCACTTTCCATCTTTGCTTATAATACTTGTGAAATATTATATTCAATTACATTCTCAAGATTCAAGATTTCATTAGGACGTTTTTATAAAGTTGTAAACTTAAGTGATCAAATTACAACTTTCAGATGTTTCGAGTTTCTATTTTGTTTTTGTAACTTACTATTATCAATTACTGATTCTGTAGCTGCGGAAATCTTGTCTCCTGTAATTACACAACAACAACAACAAACATTTAAAAATATCACACTTTTATTGTACAGTTAGCATCATTAATTGTTGTCAACTTGAGAATCCATAACCATAAGTGATCATTACATAATCTATTTACTCATAAACAAGTATTTATACACATGTGTATCGTAGTAAATTTAAGAGGGAATTGATGAAGATACAAATAAAAACAAATTAGTCTTTTTTTTTCATTGGTAACCAACAGAGATATAAAACAGCACTGTCATTGTATTTAGGTGGTGACTAGATTCAAGGGTGATTATCCTTAACGCTTTGAAATACTTATAAACTTGATTCAACAATATTGAATGACGATAATATTTTAGCTTAAACCTGATGAAATATGAAGTAGCTTAAGTTTATTTATCAGTGAATCTTACGATGATACAATGTGATTTAACAAACGTAGATATTTTGAGTTCATGCTCATTAATGAAAGGAATTCATGGAATTCAGACAATAACCCTCTAGGTAAGGATGTGTCAATATAAATGTTGATATGAATGAGCATTTAATAAAAACACTACAATCAAATGAGATCATCTGATGAATCTATAAGGAGTTCACTAAAAAAAACTGAACTATTACTGTTATATCTCGATGAGAATAATGAATGGTAACTTTTGGGATCCATTTATAGACCAATACTATGCGCATATTTTCATGGTGTAATTGTTAAGTAACTAAACTATTTATATTCGTGTCCCTCTTATCATAAGCTTTATTTTGACTTATGAACTATTAATATACCATTCTTGAGCTATGCCCAATTTATTAATTACTATCTCTCATATTCATAGCCCATTTTTGGCTAAATCTTGTAAAAATGTTGTTTCCTGTTTTATGGTACGATGTGGTCTGTTTGATTGGTATATAAACCCAATATGTTTGAAATAGAATGATTCATACTGCAGTGGCTGAGATTGGTGTTCTCGACTCAAAAGGCGGGAAGAATCACCTGTAAAGACTCTAGACTGCTTATACTTGTTTTATGTACTATTGGTGTGGTCGATAATTCATTGTTCTCTAATTAAAGGTATCATTACGTTAAACATTGATAGGGATACAGGGCACAAGTTAAAACAATAACCATTAAGATATGGATATCGTAACACAAAAATACTACTAAACATACATCCTTCTAAATGAAATTCATATTCATATAAGGTTCATGTATAAAACTGATGGTAATACACAACATTGTAATCATTACATAATAACTGTTTGTTTGTTTTTTAAATATTTTCATTATTTACGTTTCCATATCATGACAGGGAGGATAATATGACCTACTATGTTTTTCACAAGCTAAATTGCCTAAAATATAAAAGTGAAAATCATGTTTAATGTAAAGAGTAGAAGTGTGAGGTTTTATTTTTACAAAAATTGTTTTCCGCTTAATTTATTTAAACACATAAACATTGATACAAGAAGGCATCAAATAGATATCCATCACATAAATCATTCGATTTATGTAAAGACTGGGATACTGCACAGATGCAAAAACCGAATCAGGTGGTTTTCCTAGGCAACCTCACCTGGAGCCGTCCACCTAATTGTCTGATCTACAAGGCAACGGAGCAACGTAATGAGATACAGTCACATAGTAGCCAATGTCCAACAATAGGTTCATACACAATTTGTTCACTCAGGATCCTGTAGCCCATGTTCACGACTGATTTGGAATGTGGGTTTTCCAATTTCCCTAGGTGGACTCTCTGTGTCCACCAACCCGGTGAAAGCACCGGACATTCTATTTTCTTCCTCATAATTTCATAAACAACGCCGGTGCTATGAGAATGCAGTTAATAGGACTATCCTTGTAGTGTTTGTATGCACGTGGCCACTTAAGAGTATTTGGAGAGGGAGAGCTGACTCTCTGCACTCTCGGCCGTACCAAGGCATTTGGGGGCCATTTTTTACTGTAGTCTATGCAAATTATTAGCACACAACATTTGGATATTTATTCTGTGTTTGTCCTAACAGAAGAGATTTTCCATTAAATTCTTATATGATAAGGTTATGCTTTCTACGAATCTAAATATATTTACTTATCCAATGTGACATCAGTGCATAGTTTTTTATCAGAATTTATTTATTTTCATTCTGCTTGGATTTTCGGTAAGCGAAATCGGTATTAACATTGTATACTTCGTCATTATATAACGTATGTATCCAGCAATTTACCTAGTTAGGATATGTGAGATAAATCAACTGGTGATCGACTGTATTATGAAGACGTCAACATCTGGGGCGGGAACACGGGATACAGTAGACAGCTAGGATGCAACTGGGCGATCTAGACTTCGCAGGTGATCTGGTTCTTCTATTGCATACGCAACAATAAATGCACAAGAAGACGACCAGATTAACAGAAGCCTCAGCAGCAGTATGTCTCAATATATACAAAGGGAAAAGCAAGATTCTTCGATACAGTACAGCATGAAACAATCGTATCACACTTGACGGCGAAGATTTGGAAGATGTAAAAACATTTACATATTTGGGCAGCATCATTAATGAACACGGTGGATCTGATGCAGATGTGAAGGCGCAGATCGGTAAAGCAAGAGCAGCATATCTACAATTGAAGAACATCTGGAACTCAAAACAGCTGTCTGTCAACCAACATCAAAGTAAGAAATTTCAATACATATGTCAAGACTGTTCTATTGTATGAGTTAGAAACCTGGAGAACTACGAAAGTTGTCATCCAGAAGATACAGGTGTTTATTAACAGTTGATTACGCAAAATACTTTGGATCCATTGGCCAGACACTATCAGCAACAACTTACTGTGGGAGATCCCAATTGAGAAAGAAGTCATAAAAGCGTTGAAAGTGGATAGGACACATATTGTGGAAAGCACCCAACTGTGTCACAAAACAGGCCCTCACATGGAATCCTCGAGGCCAAAGTAGGAGAAGAAGACAAAAGAAAATATTATTCCGAGAAATGGATATATATATAAGAAGAATGAACAACAATCGGATAGAACTAGAAAGAAAGGTCCAGAAGAGAAATAGTTAGAGAATGCTGGTCGGTGGCCTTTATTCCATTGGGAGTAACAGGCGAAAGTAAGTAAGTACGTCCGTGAATACCATTGTTTCAATAGATTTGAATTGAATTATATCAAGAAAAATCATTTAACAAAGTTTAATATGAAAATGTACTTACAATAAAAATGTTGTGGATTAGCATCTATATATCAAAGGTGAATAGAATTGTTTTGTTTATAAATAGTAATAAATGGAACATTTTATGTATTGTCCATCAATTCATTATTATATATTGAAGTATCTATCCTCAAAACATTATAAATAGTTTAATTATGGTTGCCGGTTTACAAGAAACTTGTTTATATACATATTGATTACTTATATTTAATATCAGAAGGGGTTTTGTGGAGATTTTAGTAATTTCAATAGTTGAGATCATCAGTCAATTGAAGCTAGATCACCATGGAAAGCTCAGAAACACTGGACGGCCGTTTCAGCCTATTGTGGAACACCTCAGCAGTGCACATCCACGATCCAGGACCTATCGATCTCGTACATAAACGATCAATCTCTAGACCACTGAGCCGGCATTCAGTGGTGTTAATGTCTAAATTCAAATAATCCACTAAACTGAGCGACACATCCATCATTGTCTTCAGTAAGTTACTATCTTACAATCAGTCAGGATATGATTTATCAATGAGAAACATTATATCTTGTAAAAACTTTTTTTTTCTCAATTTATTTAATGTAACCAGCAGAATTGTGTAAAACATTCGCTTAAGCTTTCATAAACATAAGTTAGTTTAATAAGTAAAGATGGATGAGGACTAGCAGTAGAAATCAATGATGCTCATTTCCTCTTATTAAGGACTCATCATCTGGATGTATCTGCATTCCAGAGTTGAGGTTCATTCCAAAACTCAGTAGCTAAGTGGATAACGTGATTGTGTTCGAAGTGAACGTTAATGAGTTAGAGTCTTGAAGTAAACATCAAAGCAGGTACATCCATCTAAAAAGTCCCAAATAGGATGAGACGCTCGTCTTTGATTCTTGCTGCTAGCCACTAGCTAAGTAGATAATGTAATTGCGTTTGAAGAGAACGGTACTGGATTAGAGCCTCAGAGTAAACATCAACTCTGGAATGCAGGTACATCCACCTGACGAGTCTCAAATAGAACGAAACGCACATCCTGTATTCCACTGCTAGCCACTATCCATTTTTTTGATTATAATGCTTGTGAATTAAGACAATACCGAGGCACATAGGCCAACAAAAGATACAAGTAAACAACATCAAGTACTTCAGTTTCAGTTATGATGCATTTGGCTTTCTTATGCCATAAATTTGCTTTTAATTGTCAAGACGTTTCTATACAGATTTTAACCGGCATAAAATTTTAATAAATGATGTTAATAGAGTTATTTGATGAAAGCATGAATGATACAACTTCGACTATGTATATGAAGTTCCATGAATAAATTGTCAAATCTATTTTTTAATAAACGGAATACACCTATTAAGATATTAAATAAGAAAGATTAGTTCAGCGAAGAGTTCTCTTTTTGGCGAATTCATTTTCAAAGCTGTAATAAAGGTAGCCTTCACATTGACTTTCACAACTTTGACAGAATAACGCAGAAACTCATTCATTTTCACCAAGTTACTTTATTGATAACTGAATTACCAGCTAAGTGGTGACCCTTACAATATGTAAATTATATACATTATTTGTATTTGTATGTATTATATCTTTGTTAATGAAACTCTTTACGTTTCAACTCATGACAATCATCAGTTTGTTTGTTAAACAACAGGTCTACTTTCTAAACAACTATGCCAATCCACTCTATAGATAACATCAAATCCAGAAATTTCCAATTCATTAATTCAAATAATCTGGCATATTATTGTGGAGTCTTACAATCAGATGAATCTTTACATATATGAAATTGAGAACATTCACTACAAAATTAAATCCAACTTATGATTCTTAATGATTAAATAACGTAGATACACAATGGTTGTTATAAGTAATGATCTGTCATGTAAGAAATTTTCGGTTTATTCAATTTGACAACCCATCTTTTTCTCACATATTCCTTTTATATTGTGTTTGCTTGAATCTTCTCATTGATATTTAGGACTACAATTGATCAATCACTTATTGACATATGAGCATTTTGTACAGATTACCTTGATAGTACCTTAAATCACAAACTTTTTAGGCAAAGATGAATGATGACTAGGAGTGGAATCCAGGACACTCATTTCATCCTGTTTGGGAGTCGTCAGTTGGATGTACCTATTTCATAGTGAAATAAACTTCCTTAATTTAAAACAAATGGATAAAGATCATTTGAGAATTTTCATTAATTTATCATTATTTAGTTCAATTTGTTCTTATCAAACGTTATTGTGTTTAATTTCGCTATCGGTTAAATGACTACAGTCTAAATCAATCCTATAGCACAATTAAGGACCACAGTACAACAACTCAGGGATCACTCTTAGAAGAATAGACTGTAATATATATTACACAAATTATAAGAATAGTTATAATGTTGAGATTCAATCATATCTATGCTCATTCGAGAATTTATTAACGATCATTAAGATGACAAATGAACATTAGTAATTAAGAAAGTATTATATGCTTACTAGTGACTAGCTTCATGAGGCGATTCTCGGAGTTCCGGTGAGAAGCCATGAGCAGTGGAGCTAATGCGTGTCGGGTAGAGACGGATGTTTACCTTAGTACAATGGAAGATGGTTGCACAATTTCGTGGATTGGTTGGGGTTAGACATTAACACCGTTGGATACCGGTATAGTGGTCTAGAAGTAAAACGCTTGCGCGCGAGACTGACGACCCTGAGTTCGAATCCTACTTGCGGGATCGTGTATGTGCACTGCTGAGGAGTCCTACAGTAAAATGAAACGGCCGTCCGGTGCTTTCAGGTTTTCAATGGTGATCTAACACCAATCGGTTCATGATCTCAATTAAAAAATTAAGAAAAAACGTTTTTTTCAGCAAACGGTAATTAATCTGAAGTACTTTACTCTGTAATATTGAAATAAGTGATTAATCAAGACATACTTTTTAAACATGCAGTATTACCTAAACAGTGAATAAAATCAATAAACTTGCGGATACTATTAAAGATAGGTATATAGTTTATTAGCTTCATTCAATATTATATTTTGGGTATAATATAGAATTATCAACACAAAGTATTTCAACAAGTTTCCTTTGCTTATTTCTTGTTCGATCATTTCGATAAATATTGAGCGATCGCCAGTTAGATAATAGCAGTTCAGGAATCAATATCTGAATAGTGTATATTCATTTCGTTGTATATTGCCAGCAACCACGATGTCTCTGATTGAACTTTTGTAACTTGAAAGAATGCTTATCCTCCACTCCCGACCGTTGTTGCTACCTTGACGTGGTGGTCGGGCTTGCCTATCGTGATGAAGCAACCGAGCTATACTGGCTGGAACAACCGTTCCTCAAGGGCCTACCATGTCAGACAGGTCGGTTGAAGAGCGGTAAGACTAAAAGCAACAAACCCAAGGTCCGAAGGCGAAGTCGTACTGCTGACTATACAGAGGTGTGACAGCAGTAAGGTGTTTCCTTCAGACAACCAGCATGACAGCGATGCTGCCTTCCCACAAGGAGGGGTGGGGTTAGAAAAGGTCGACCCTAAAAATGCACACCTCACCTTACCTCACGGATTTCCGTCTCCGGCGGTAAGGCCCTTTGAAGAACGGAGCTAACACGTCAAAAACCTCCTACGAAAAGGCCGTGCGCGACCGGCCTTAAGCAGTTGTCCCTTGGGCACTGCGGTCACGCTCTCAGGCCACTAAGACCACCTTTAATCCAATTTCCTTTTCAGGTACCTCCAGAAGAACCCTTCCACGGTGTGGGCAACCGGGAATTGATAACCGCCCTCATACCTCTAACAGCACCCAAGACCACTGTATTCATAATCAACCTCCCTCTTCAATTCCTATTATTCCTCCTACATCGACTTTCAACTCTAAATTTCCTCTCTCGGCTTCCACCTCAAGTGTCACCATAGCCAACGATTCTAGTGCGCAAAACACTGTCCCAGGTCTACTGAAACCTCGCTCCAAACTACACATTGGAGCCTTCAACGTACGCACCCTATGTCAAATCGGTCAGCAGGCTTCCTTGGCTAAAACCCTAGAGTCTCTTACCATTGACGTGTGCTGTGTCTCCGAAACACGCATACAGGATTCCAGTGTGGTCATTCACTTGACCTCACCTCGGCAAAACGGAGAGCCAACAAGATACACCCTTCGTGTATCTGGTGACCCGATGGCAAGTTCTCGTGGACTGGCAGGTGTAGGCATAGCACTAAGCATGAGGGCGGAACAAACACTGCTAGAGTGGATCCCCGTCAACAGTCGTTTATGTGCCGTTCGGCTGAACGGCTACGTAAGAACTCGGAAGGATAGGGACACACGTCGTTGCCTTTTCGTCGTTTCTGCCTACGCTCCCACTGATTGCAGCTCACATGAAGTGAAAGATGAATTTTACAGAAAGCTGTCCGAACTTCTTCAGAAAGCTAAACGCTCAGACATAGTACTCGTAGCAGGTGATTTTAATGCTCAGATAGGTAGCTTAAACCAAACAGAAAGGCATTTAGGTGGATATTTCAGTGTTCCGACACAGCGAACAGATAATGGTGATCGTCTGCTGCAGCTATGCTCAGACAATCGTTTATTTTTAGCAAACACAAATTTTAGGCATAAGGAGAGACATCGTCTAACATGGCGACCCCCTACACCAAACCAACGATGGACTCAAATAGACCATATTGCCATCAGTCATCGTTGGAGAGGGTCGGTAGAAGATTGTCGCTCATTCCGGAGTACCTGCTTGGACTACGACCACGCCCTAATACGGGCACGCATCTGCTTGCGCCTCATTGGACGCAAAAAAGCCACATTAAAAAGACCCGTTAGAACTGAGTTGAGTAACGAGAAAACCAAAAGTAGGTTCCAGGAACAACTGAGGTCACACTTAGGTAGTTGTGAAGACGAGGCTGACCCAGATGTTGCTTGGAAGGGCATACAATCAGCTGTGGAAACAGCAGTGACATCTATTAGTGACTTAAACCACAGAGTTGCAAGGAACCAGTGGATTTCTTCAAGGTCTGTCACACTGATGGATTCTCGCAAACTCGTCCCATCAGGTTCTGAACATGATGAAGAGCGAAAACAAATCAGATCTAGGTTAAGAAAAAGTCTAAGGAACGACCGTGAGCAGTGGTGGGTAACGAAAGCAAAAGAGATGGAAAAGGCGGCGACTATAGGGAACACAAGACAGCTTTACAGACTAATAAAAGAAACTGGAATTAATAAGTCAAGTGTAAGTGAGATTATTTCGGAAAAAGATGATACTCTCATCTGCTCCCAGTCCAGGCGTTTAGAACGATGGGCGGAACATTTTAGAGAACAGTTCAGCTGGCCTTCAGCTACTGTACAACTACCCTCTATTCCCAGACAGTGTGAATGGAACATTGAAGTAGGTCCCCCAACTCTTGCTGAAGTTCAAAAGGCTATAGTTAATCTGAAACGAGGAAGGGCAGCTGGTCCAGATGGATTGGCTCCAGAGGTCTTTAAGGATGGTGGCCCAATTTTAGCGATTAGGTTGACTAATATTTTAGCTAAGATCTGGGAATTAGACTTTATCCCATCTGACTGGTCGCAATCACTTATCGTCCCAATATATAAGAAAGGGTCAAAATCATCCTGTGACAACCACAGAGGGATTAGTTTAACAAACATAGTATCTAAAATACTGGCCTCGATAATTATCAAACGCCTAACTAAGACTCGTGAACTACAAACTCGAGAGAACCAAGCTGGCTTTAGACCTGGTCGTGGCTGCATCGACCACATATTCACCATTCGTCAGGTTCTAGAACACAGGCATACCTATCGGCGTCCGACGATGGTGGTCTTTCTTGACTTAAAAGCAGCATTTGATTCTGTAGACCGCGAGACTCTGTGGCAGTGTCTGTCATTGAAAGGCGTACCTCAGAAGTACATAAACCTTGTGAAGGCTCTTTACTCGAACACTACTAGTCGAGTCAGAGCTTATGGCGAACTGTCATCTACTTTTGCAACTTCAAGTGGTGTCCGTCAAGGCTGTCCGCTTTCTCCATTTTTGTTTAACTTCATCATAGACCTATTGATGGAAATAACACTCTCGTCGACTGAATTCTCGGGTATTGATCTCCTACCAGGAGGTCCACTTGTCGACTTAGAATACGCAGATGACATAGTCCTGTTTGGTGAAGACGCTGACAAAATGCAGAGTCTTCTGGTAGCACTAAGCAACAATGCCAGAATGTTTGGGATGCGCTTCTCTCCCTCTAAATGCAAGTTGTTGCTTCAGGACTGGTCTGCGTCAACACCTGAACTAAGGATAGGGAGTGAAGTAGTCGAACGCGTCGACAACTTCACTTATCTTGGAAGTCTGATCAGCCCTAATGGGTTGGTGTCTGACGAAATCTCAGCACGGATTCGAAAAGCTCGTTTGGCTTTTGCCAACTTACGTCACCTATGGCGAAGGCGAGATATCCGTCTATCAATAAAAGGACGTGTATACTGCGCGGCAGTCCGTTCTGTTTTAATTTACGGCAGCGAAACATGGCCTTTAAGAGTGGAAGACACCCGTAAGCTACTAGTATTTGACCACAGATGCCTTAGAAATATTAGATAATTGAAATTATTTGATTTGGACTAAGTTAGTCCTTGAATTGTATCATATAAGATGCACATTTCTGCAAAAAGGGAAAAGATATGTAAATACTGTTGCTGACAGATATCCAACTCTTCTTATCTTGTTTACTTTTAAAAATACAGATCCAAATGGATATGAAGGGGGTAAGGTGCCTTCTATTTATTACCAAGTTTTCATTAATGGATTTACCTTTGGCCTTATATTAGTCCTGGTATTTTTTGATGTTACATAATTTAGAAATGATTGCCTTTCTGTTTACTGGATCGTTGTACTTCTAATGACAGTTAGCTGAAATACTGTACTTTTGACTGTTATTACTTTATTCGCGAGTCAACTATTTACAAGGATAAAGATCAAGTTTACAATTTTCGAAGAATATTTATTTCGATTGGGAAATCTGATTACTTACCTTCTAAGCAAATCAATAACTAATTGCTCGTCATCGGAATGAATTGAAATAGTTGATCCTGTTCTTTTGATGAGGGTTGACTGCATAGAATAGGTTAAACTATTGAGGTGTTCTACATTTGTGCGTTTTATACGTACTTTAGTTTCTACCAGTATAACTTGTTTATCGCGTTGCTATGTTCCTATTCATTTGATAAGAGTGTGATTATTGAGTCTACTTCCATACAGACGATAAATCCAGGGTAATAAAGATTCTAAACGTTACTCTCAAAGTTGAATGAAGATTGATCGGATGGAATAGAACTTTCACGCTTATTTCGCTGAATAGTTAGTCGTCTCGATGCAAATATATCCTCCAATATTCAACCTACCTTCTATATAAGATTTAAGATGGTTTGTTGAGAAATACATTTATTTCTGTGTAGCTTAAAACTATACAAGCCTAGCAATGCTTAGTGCTACTGAAAAAGCACAAAATATGAGATCTTAGTTCTAGAATGCTTTTTGATACTCGTTATATCATAATTTTTCAGCCCGTAAGCATAGTGATAATTATATATTGATCATTATTTCTTTAAACAACATGATTTGAAAGGCTTTGACGACTGTAAGTGTAACGTTTCCTAATAAACTATATTTATCAATAACACATTATTATGTAACGTTGTTTATTTCATTCAAATATGACAAACCAAAAACTTTTAGTTCATGTACACCTGAAAAGTGAAAGAAAACTAGTGCTTCTTATTACAGATTATTCAAAATTCAATGTTTTGTAACACTAGCTTTTTATAGAAAATAAGCCAAGTTGTTCAGATGTTTTTCGAAGATATGGTTCAACAATTAAATGACATCAGAAAGGGGTTTTTTTGGATATTATAGTAATCTAATAGTTGAGATCATGAGCCAATTGAAGCTAGACCACTTTGGAAAAGCTGAAAGCACTGGACGGCCGTTTCGTTCTATTGTGGGACTTCTCAGCAATGCTCATCCACTGGCGGGATTCCAGCCCAGGACATGTATTCCAAACTGATGTAAATTGGTCAAGGATGGTCATGGATGTGCACTGCTGAGGAGTCCCACAATAGGACGAAACAGCCGTCCAATGCTTCCAGGTTTACCATGGTGGTCTAGCTTCAAATGACTCATGATCTCAACTATTAAATTAAATGAGAACTTTTGCACGTAAAGAAAGTGAAAAATGATTAGCACATTCAGTGCATAAGTTGTTCTTTGTAGACAACTTCACAGTAATTTACATTCTGAAACTGTTTATTTCAACGTGAATAACGTAGACCCGTACAACAAAACTTTTGAACGTACAAAATGATCCAGTTTAATTAGAGACATTTTTAGCCATGTTAATAAATTATCCCTCATATTTATGTATAATATTCTTTCATTGATATTTGATATCTCTTGATCTAATACCTCTTAAATGTGGGATTTCTAGAGATGAAATATTTTGGAGAGATTGTTCTGAGATGTTCTGATGTGTGGGCAAAGATGATAATGGTTAGCTGTTTGTTTAGTCAAACTTGTAGATAGTCTAACAGGTGTTAGATGAGTTATGTATACTCCTATCTTTATTATTACTGAGATTGTTGTCGGCTTTTTAGTGTGGAAATATATTTACCTTCTAGTCAGGCTAATCACTTGTTCTTGATGTGAGTTGTGTTGAAGTCCTGTAGAATAAACACTGGAAGAGAATCTGATGTAGATATTCGTCTCAAGCAAATTAACTTCCCATTCATAAAAATGAAGGATATTCAATCGCTATAAAATTTTCTCTTATAAATCTCCGGTTGTTGGTACTTCGTTATAAGAGTTCATTTATAGATGTAACTAGAAAAATGTTTTCTTTTCCAGGTAAAACAAAGTGTTACGGAATGAACGAACGGTGAATCCCTGTAACCGATTGCTCTTTGCTCTGTCAAGTTTCTTCAGTCGTACGTTAAATACGATGTTAGAATTCAACATTTCATTACGTTATTGTTTTATTATTTTGCTTATTTATTAACTGTAATTAAAGAATAATAATTAACCGAAATCAAATAAATTCAAAATATAATTTGCAAATCGTTTATATTTTCAACTTGACAATGCTTCTGTCCTCAAAATGATACCTCAACAATCCTTCGAACATGTCGTAGTGATCAGTGGCGTCGAATCCGTGTCGGGTATGAGACAGTTATCCATCTTAGACAATAGATGAAGGGTCGTGCAAGATCCCGTTAGATACTAACATCGTTGGATGCCGTCTCAGGAGTTTCGAGGTTAAGCGTTTGCATGCGAGATCGAAGGATCTGAGTTCGAGTTATGCGTGCTGGATCACGGATGCATACTGCTGAAAAGCCTCATACTAGAGTGAACCATTTTTAGATACGACTGTTTCTTGAACAGCCTAACGATAACATACAAACTAAACGGATAAATTTAATCGATATGAAACATATTTGACATAGATTCACGTCATTTAGATGAAAAAAATAACTAGCGTTGTTATTACTTGACAAACATCCGGTAAATGTCCCCAACCTTGCTGAAAATTCATGTTGAGGTAGCATACCATCCATAGCTGTAGAATGAAGAGCTTTATCGAGTTACAGATTACTTACAAACAGACAAACCGAAGTCCTGAGTTCAAACAATACATGTGTACGAGTTTTTCTCGCCAATTTAAATATGCAAAAACATTATCACTCTTTCGCCAAGTGAATATTTAACTTCATTTTAGTTAAAAACAGTTGAAAATAATATGAGTTAAAACATCTAGCAGTATACCATTTATTGTTTCAGTATTTTAAAGATTTAAATAATCGCTTTGCTATTCAAGGCAACATGAGTCGTCTCTACAAGATACACTTATGTTTCTGACATTGCGGAATAATAAACAACATCCTTAACTCTATATCTGATGTTCACGTAATTGCGTAGTAGTCGTGGTGAAAATGTGTCTACATCTGAATCACTAACAAAATTGTAGAAAGCTCGAAACGCTAAAATAAAAATAAATCGAAGTCTCTCACCTCGTTAGTTATACTTATATTATTCCTAATTTAAAATATGAATGTTTTTAGTTTCACGTAATGTCCTAATATTTATCATGGAATACGAAATGGAAATTCGCTGAAATACTTTGAGCTGAGAATTCTATATTATACCGAACTTATGATATTGAATATAGCCATTAATAATAATTATTATTTATTTCACCCTAGTGACCAGCTTTTTGAGGGAATTCTTGGAGTTCTGATGGGAAGCCGTGACTAGTGGTGCTAATCCGTGTCGGGTAGAGACGTATATCTACCTCAGTAGGATGGAAGATGGTCGTATAATTTCCTGGATTTGTTGAGGTCAAAGATTAACACCGTCGGATGCCGGCTCAGTGGTTTAGATGTTAGGAGTTCGCGCGCGAGACTGAAGGCCCTGGGTTCGAATCCCACGAGCGGGATGGTGGATGTGTACTACTGAGGAATCCCACAATAAGACGAAACGACCGTCCAGTGTTTCCAGGTTTTCAATGGTTGTCTAACATTGATTGATTCATGATCTCAATCAAAACTCAACAATCTCCATAACCCTATACTGGAAATAAACTTTACTGAATAAAACAAATCATCAACAACAAAAAATTTTCCCTTCACCAAATGCATATGACTGAATAAAAATTATGCTATGTTTGCAAGATACTACTATTTAATAGTTTAATTCATGAGTCAATAAAGCTAGATCACCATAGAAAACTTGGGAGAACTGAACGACTGTTTCGTCCTAACATAGGACTCCTCAGTAGTGCGCATTCATAATCTTGACTTTTTAATTAACCTTAAATAAAAATGAAGTTATGATCACTTCAAAAATGAGATTTCAGTCAGTAGGTCAATTAGCTTCTATGTAAAAAATAACTTCCAGATCACCAAAAAATGATTTAGTTTTGATCAATTTACATAAACTACTACAACTGTAAATGTACATTTTATAGGATGAAACTGTATCCCTATTTACTTTTATTTACACGAATACTATTCAACTATCAGACATTAAGACATACATTCTTCAATACAAATACATACACACAATTGTAAGTGAACATGAAACTGAGACAACGTTGAACTCCTTGATAGATGCAACTCAAAAAAGATCAAATAATCTTTGAAGCATGAGGATTAATTCAGTCATCAGATGATTCCAAACCATTTTGTGTTTTAAATAATCAAAGGTGGGGGAACGGAAGAAAGGCTGATATTATTATTTTCTCTTTCGAATAACTATTTCAACGATTTCGAAGTTATTTCCTCTAGTTTCCAAGGTGTCTTCGTCAGAATTTCTAAACTTACCTAACAATGAAAATGCTGATTTTCTGTTATTTTCCTTAAAATTACCCAACAGAAAACCACTGGTCTTAGAGTTATCTTGGAATGAGCACTAAAATTAATCACTTTCTATTATGTTTATCTTTACCTTCATTCAACAATACGTCTAAAGTGAATGCATATAAAGTAGTTTTCTCGAATAATCTTTCGTCATATAAACATGTTATTGACTAAATCAGCTGACCGATGATCGACATTCATTATTCTATTATATACAGTGATACTGAAATCTCTTTAACCACTTACCTTATTGTTTCACTAAGTGAAAACTGAATATTTTTAGTACTATATGTGGACTTATATTTTTATACCAATTTCTAAATGCTGGACATCTATACTTAAAGATGAGAGTAACAACCAAATGTTCATCCACCATGCATCGAAATATTAGAGCAGGAATTCTGTGGACCACGTTGTCACCCCTAGATGATTGACAACGAAGTACGATTTTCATTTATTATCTTCAGTAACATACTGTTTCGTATTTCTCTGGAATTATCTTCCATATATGCTTCACTACAAAACCCCAGATTTTGTAAAGCTTAGTGTTGTTAAACTATAACATTTGAAAAGATACACTAAGTAGGACGTGCAAAATGTAATCCATAACCAGGAAGGTAAATCGTTGATTTGACTTACTATCTTGATGGCAATGTCGACGACCTAAATTCAAAAATATGTTCGTTGTTGATTTTAGTCAATCATACTATGGATTATGAGAGTAAGTCGTCGAAACACAGGATGAATTCATCAAAAACGGACACTTACATTCTTCGTCTATGAAAAGAAAAGTTAAATAAAATGATAACTTGTAGCCAACTTCATAACTTTGACATTCTGTTTATTCTAAGCAGAGATGGATAGTGGCTAGCAGTGGAACCCAGAACTTGCGTTTCGTCCTATTCGGAACTCGTCAGCCGGACGTACCTGCATAGCAGAGTTCATTCTGGGACAATACGCACAGTATGCACATATGCCAATAAGAAACTGATTAATTGCAGTCCTAACAATAATGGGAAGATTCAAGTAAACAAT